CGCCACCACACCTGGCTCCCTGTCTCAAAATTTAAAAATGGGCAGAGTATGTTGGCCAGTTTGAAGACCCTGAGTTCAGTTCTCTGCACCTCTAAAAATAGTGCCTTGTACATGATATGAAACCCTGCTTTCCAAATATTGAGGTATAAATGGGATCACTTGGAAAAGTTCAAAGGATTGCTCCCTAACTTCGTCACAAAATAGACTGAATCATATTTTTTGAGTATTGGATCTGGGTATGTTTTCTCAAAATTCTCCATGTGTAGACAGAAATTTAAGAACTAGGATAGAGCATCATGGAAGTGTTTCTCCCTACTGAGTCACTTCTTTTTGCTGGGCGTGCCCTAAGCTACTTCTCTCAGTGGCTTCAGTGTGAATTCCTTTGATACTCATTTCAAGAAAAGATGAGATATGGTTATTATGTTTTATTGGACATTTCAGTGCAAAAATTAAATTCAAACCAGGTGTGGTGGTGTATGCCTGTAATCACAGCACTTTGGAATGATGAAGCGGAAGGATTGCAAGTTTGAACTCAGCCTAGGCAATTTAATGAGTCCCTGTCTTTAAAAAAGGAGTGGAGTTGCGTGGGGTGTGTAACTTGGCGTATAAAGGCCCTAGTTTCAGTCTCCAGTACTGCCCCTCACCTCTCTACTTGACTTTTCTGTAACTTTTTTTTTTTCTTTTTAAGGAAACTAAGGCTAAGTATAATGGAAAGAAGTAATACTAAGTGTTTCTAAAATAGCATTTGTCCCTAGTTGGGAGTGGGAGAGAAATCCATTTCATCCTGTGTGGACCACTGAATTGTTTTGATTACTTTGGGATCCTAGAAGGCTGTTGTGTTCTCTTACATCTGGTTTTATGTAAATTTGGCCTCATATTTTTGCCAGAATCAAATCACAGGCTGTAACATTCTTTAAGTCATTCTTTTCTCTTCTGTATACTCTAGGCCTTGTGTCGGGCAGAGGATGAAGAAGATATCCGTGCAGCCACCCAGGCTAAGGCTGAACAAGTGGCTGAACTTGCAGAATTTAATGAGAATGATGGATTTGCTGTGGGTGAGGGTGAGGAGGCCAGTAGGGTAGGAGCTGATGATGAGGAGATGTCCCGGGCTGAGCAGGAGATTGCTGCCCTTGTGGAACAGGTCAGTGCTGGAACTAGTTCTTGCCTTCATAACATTTTCCCCTGGGTTTAAGGCCCTTTTTGTGGGTCTTGGGCACCAGATCCCTATGTTCATTCATAACATCTGCTTCACTCCATAGCTTACCCCCATTGAGCGGTATGCCATGAAATTCCTAGAAGCCTCTTTGGAGGAAGTGAGCCGAGAGGAGCTCAAACAGGCAGAAGTGAGTACTTCTGGGGCATGGGGTTTGTAGTAGTAAGCTGCTGTTTTCGCTGTGCTCTACTTGACTCTTACTGACCACCCTGGGGGCTCTGTTGTTGGTAGGAACAAGTGGAGGCTGCCCGAAAAGACTTGGACCAAGCCAAAGAGGAGGTGTTCCGCCTACCCCAAGAAGAGGAGGAGGGGCCAGTGGCTGGGGATGAGATCTGTGGGACTAGTGGAGGCAGCCACCGGCGCAGTAAGAAGGTCAAGGCCCCGGAGAGGCTGGGGACTCGTGTTAGTGAGCGACTTCGTGGAGCCCGGGCCGAGACTCAAGGGACAAATCACACTCCTATCACTTGTAGCCATCATACCCGCAGCACTTCCACTCCCCCCCGCTGCAGTCCTGCCAGGGAACGGGTTCCCAGGCCAGCACCTAGGCCGCGGCCTACTCAGGCTTCAACTCATGCTGTAATTCCTGCCCCAGTTCCTCCCCCAGTTCCTGTCCCAGTCCCTGTCTCGATACCCATTTCAGCCCCAAATTTGGTAACTATTCTTCCTGTCCATATCTTCCCATCTCCCACACCTCCTCCGCAGATTCCTCCTCCGTGTTCTCCTGCCTGTACCCCTCCTCCTGCCTGTACCCCTCCACCACCGCCTCATACCCCACCATCAGACCAGACCTCTCTCTTAACTCCTCCTGTTCTGCTTGATTCACCTTCTGTGCCCATCTCTTCCCCAGTTACTAACCTCTCATTGGGCTTGGGGCCTGAAGCAGAACTTTGTGCACATGTGTTGGCATCTACAGAACCCCTGGAGATGGCTGGTATGACCAGTTCTGAGACCTCCCCACTTACTCTTATGCCTCTTAAGGATCTATTACCAGTTGCTGTTGAGATCCTGCCTGTCTCAGAGAAGAACCTTCCTCTCATCCCTTCTGCACCCAGCCCAACCCCAGAGGCTGGCAGCATCCCCAATGGTCAGGAGCAGGAGGTACGAGATCCTGCTGAAGGTACCATCCTCACAGTGCTGGGTCATGAGTTGCCCATGGGCTTGAGTGAGAGCAATGGGCTGGAGCTCCCACCTTCACTACCATCTGATGAGCCACTCCAAGAGTCTAATAGGAATGTGGAAGAGTTGGTAGATGTTCACATCCCAACTTCCAGCCCAGAGAAGCCGCAAGAACTTGCTACATCTGAAATTACAGCCCCATCAACCTCATCTTCAGCCACCTCCTCTCCCGAGGGTCCTTCGCTTGCCCGGCCCCCTCGGCGTCGCACCAGTGCTGATGTAGAAATTAGGGGCCAGGGGGCTGGTCGACCAGGGCAGCCTCCAGGTCCAAAAGTGCTTCGAAAGCTGCCAGGACGGCTAGTAACTGTGGTGGAGGAAAAGGAACTTGTGAGGCGGCGACGTCAACAGCGGGGACCTGTCAGCACCTTAGTGCCTGGGGTCCCTGAGACTAGTGCCAGCCCAGGAAGCCCATCTGCCCGCAGCATGTCCGGGCCAGAATCCTCACCTCCCACCAGTGGGCCTGGTGAAGTTGCGCTATCATCCTCGCTGTCCGCCACAGCTCAGCAGCCCTTCATAGCTCGGCGGCACATTGAGCTGGGAGTGGCTGGCAGGGGCAGCCCGGAGAACGGAGAAGGAGCACCACTTGCCATCTCTCCACCTGCTGTGAAGCGTCGGAGGGGGAGGCCCCCCAAGAACAGGTCTCCAGCAGATGCTGGGAGAGGAGTGGATGAGGCAGCTTCATCCACCTCTAAAGGAAAAACCAATGGGACTGACCCAGACCCTGAAACTGAGACCCTAATTGTTGCAGAGCCTGTCCTGCGGCCTCAGCTTATTCCTGAACCCCAGCCTCCTGGATCCCTATCAGCTCACAGACCAGAGCCCATCATCCTGTCACCTGTGGAGAAAAGACGGCGTGGGCGGCCCCCCAAGGCACGAGATCTGCCTGTCCCTGGGACCATTTCCTCTCCAGGGGATGGCAATATAGAGAGCCGGACACAGCAACTCCCACCACTGCCACCACCCCTACCACTGCTAGCCTGTCCTACTGCTTCTGTCGCTAACACTGTCACCACGGTCACCATTTCAATGTCCCCACCCAAGCGAAAGCGGGGCCGACCTCCCAAGAATCCACCATCACCTCGAGCCAGCCAGCTCCCTGTATTGGACCGTGACAGCTCTTCTGTTCTTGAGAGCTGTGGACTGGGGAGGCGCCGGCAACCCCAGGGCCAGGGGGAAAGTGAGAGTAGTTCTTCAGATGAGGATGGAAGCCGCCCCCTCACCCGCCTGGCCCGCCTGCGACTTGAAGCAGAAGGGATGCGAGGACGAAAGAGTGAAGGGTCCATGGTGGTGGCTGTAATTCAAGATGATCTGGATTTAGACAGTGGGCCAGGCGGGTTAGAATTGACACCTCCTGTGGTCTCAGCCCCAAAACTGCGCTCGACCCGGTTACGCCCAGGGTCTTTAGTGCCCCCACTAGAGACTGAAAAGGTGCCTCGCAAACGGGCAGGGGCTCCAGTTGGTGGAGGTCCTGGGTTGGCAAAGCGGGGCCGCCCACAACCCCCAAGTCCCTTGGGGCCTGAGGGTTCAGTAGAAGAGTCTGAGGCTGAAGCCTCAGGTGAGGAAGAGGAAGGGGATGGAACCTTACGACGTCGGCCTGGCCCCCGCAGGCTTGTTGGGACCACCAACCAAGGGGACCAACGCATCCTGCGCAGCAGTGCCCCTCCCCACTTGTCTGGTCCTATCGTTAGTCACAGAGGCCGGAAGGCCAAAACGTGAGAGGGCTGCCCCTCCATCTATGCTTTGTACCGAGGCCACTTTCCCTGCTCCATGACCAGGCCTGACTCTGTTAACCACTACTTGAAGTCCTGAGGGGGAAAGCCTCCAGGGAGACATAAGGCCCTTCTCCCTTACCACCAAAGTAGGGGATAGACAACTACTTGTGGAAACGGGGCTTATCACAATCCTTCCCTCCCACCTACATGGCTGGGCAGTGTTAAGGGTGGCAAGATAGTCTTTGTCCCACCCCCTTGTACTTGATTTTCCAGCTATCTTTCATAGCCCCACACCCTTAGGGGAAAGGGGAGGGGCTTCTCTACAATGAGTTTTTTTTTCTTTTTTTTTTTTTTTTAAGAAGGAAAAATAATAAACTTAGTTTCTGTACAAGCATCCGAGTAAGGAAGCTTCTGATTTTCTGGTGTGGGGGGAGGATTTGGGCATTGTTTTCCCTTTCGTCTTGCAGAGATCCTTGTACCTGATCACTAACCCTAGATTATATACCTTTGAAATAGAAACTTCCACCCAGAAGAGCAAAGACTGGCAAGTTTGATCTGTTGGTAGGGTGTCTTTCCCTGAAGTCTTCGTTGTAATCCATTCAGATATACTCTCTCCCCTAGACTATTGCTGTGGTTACTGATCTCCCTCAGAGCTTTGTAGTGCCTTAGCCTTTTTCTTTCTTCCAACCAACCCTTTGTTCAAGCGATTCCTTTTTCCATAAGAAAGGGTATCTATTACTAGCCTCCTCCTCCTAGCCAAACTGGTTTGAGTCAGCAACACCCTCTTCCTTCCCTGCTCCTGGGGCTCTTCAGATGTTGACTGCTTAGTTGGCCCCACCCCTGGGCTTGGCTTGGAGCCCTGAGGCAGCTCCATCTCCGCCTGAGCCAAGTCAAACCTGAGGCTGGAGCCGAAATTCAAGAGTTCCTCAAAGGCCTATAGCCAGGTAAGAGCCCCGGTATGTTTACATTTTTTTTGTCCACGACTCTGGGTTCTCTCCGTGCTGCCCTTGTCTGCGTTCTTTCCTCATGCCTAACCTCCTATGGCTTTGTGGCACACGTTCTTTGCTCTCTGCTTGTTTTGCCTCTTGTACCCTTCCTGTCTTGTTTTCAGGGGACCGCAGCATTTGATTTTGCCTACTTAGGTGGAATGGTTGGATGTGAGAGTGGAAAGGTTGTGATAGGAAGCTTAGAGGGCCTGAGAAGTAGATGAGAAATGAGTAAGTATTGGTACTGTGCAAGTGTCTGAGAGGTAATGCCATCATTTGGACTCACTGTTCTCTGTGGTCTGGATTAAAATGTAGAGTAGATAGATAGCAAGGAGTCAGCATAGAAAAAAAGGCCCCAGCTTGGAGAAACAAGGTCTTTCTCTAGTGTATGATTTTGTCAGCTACAAAAAAAGGTTTAGATGGGTATTTTTTCTGATCCATCTCTAGAACTGTTGTTTCCGTGTGAGATGGTTGCTTGATGGAAGTGGAGTGCAAGATGTAGAGTGTGTTATTCACTGGCTCAGCCTCTGGGCAACTTCAGGGAACTTTTAAATTCATTTAGTCTGAAGTGTTTAAGATTCTGTATCTCCTCCTCAGTTGCACTTTTCAAAACGGTAATAGGTACATATTTGCTTGCCTCAAACACTCAGAAATTTAAGCTGAGGAAAAGGATTTTAGCTACACATTTCCTCTCCTGGTCTGAGTCACTGGAATTCTCAAGGCAGCATTCCTGAGAGTTGAGCTGGGCAGTGAGGACATTGGGCTCTCAGAGGGGTGGAGTCAGCAAGTCAGGTCAAGGCTTCATCTGTTGGGCTTACAAATACCTTGACTATCACCCACAGGTGATGGAGGACGAGGAGAAGGGAGTGGACACTGTGGTGAGCAACATGGCAGCTGCTCCTTCTCCATCCCCCATCCACCGCTGTTGGCTCCCCCTCCGCTGCTTGGCAGCTACTAGCATTATTTGTGGCTGCTCTTGCCTGGGAATCATGGCTCTTGTGTTTGCCATAAAGGTGAGGAATGCAGTTTCTAGGGAGTGGGGCTGGGTATAAGGCAATGGTCTTGAGTATCTGACCTGACTGCACTGACGAACAGTTTGTGTGTCTGGGCCTAGTGCAAGAGTAATAATAAGATAGAGTTTCTGCTGTCAGAGGACTCAGTCTATGCAAGAGTTGGCTGTGTAGGATGCAGTTCACAGTATCATGACAGAGGAAACACAGGGGACTCAGAAGAGAAGTGTGTGCGCTTTGGTAGCATAGGTGACTGGGAAGGTGTCCTGAGAGGGAAAGGCCGGTCAGTGTGTCCCAAGACCTGGACTATTCATCATGGCTAGTCTATGGAGAGAGGAAGCCAGAGGGTCCAGATTGTAGAGGGCCTCTGATTCTGTGCATAGGAATTTTAACTGTATCTTGAAAGTACTAGGAATCATTGAAAGTTTTTGCAGGAGGAAGTGACATGGTCAGATTTGTGTTTCAGAAAGATCCACTGTCAAGACCTACATGGAAGGTGAATTGGATGGGACAAGACTGGAGGCAGCTGAGCATAAGAGCAAAGAGTCTAGAAAGAGCCAGGTGTGGTGGCACACGCCTGTAATCACAGCACTCAGATACTAGGAGTTCAAGGCCAGTCTGAGCTATGTAGTGAGACCTTGTCTCAAAAAAACAAAAGGTGCTAGGGATTCGCTCAGTGGTTCTGCTCCTGCCTCGCAAGCACAAGGACCCGAGTTCAATCCCCGGTACCAAAAAAAAACAAAAAAACATATATTTATAAAATATATATTT